CCTTCATTGTTTGTGTATTGAGAGTAATGAGGATGAGGTGAAGGGTTAATTTTCCACTTGATAAATCTTAATGAATAAAAATGGTTGAAATGAAAAGGCTATGTGATGATCATGATGATGTGAATTGTCTTGTTGTGGCCCTTATTGATTGATTGATGAAATGTTTGATAGCATGAATGTGGACTTGAATTATATAAAATGTTGTCTCTTCCATGTGGTGTGATATTTCTTGTGTGCATTGATTGTTGAACACGTTGATGAGACATGTGAGAGTTATGCTGCCGAGGTCATTGCCGGTAGGTGGTATGATGCCGAGGCCATTTTCGACAAGTGTTTATGATGTCGAGGTTATTGCTTGCAAGTGCAATGATGTTAAGGTCATTTTTTGTAAGTGTTTGTGATGCCAAGGTCATTTCCTGCTAGTGATTTGATATAAATTCAAAGAAAAATGGCTCCGGCTAGTGACATTGTGCCGATGAGAAATGTTTTCGGTGAGAGATTGAGTATTGTGATTTGATGTATTTTGATGATTATGTGTGACTTGCTTGTTAACTGCGATTGATGCACTCGTTGTGTGTGATTTATCTACTTGATATTCAGGTTGACTTAGTTGATTCATGTTGGTTATTGAATTGTGACCGTTGAACTATAATTATTGAGCCTTATGAGTTGTGTATAGTATAATTGTTATGTAGGGTTGATTTTTGTGCAGGTTGTAGTTTGAGGAGGTCTGGTTGGGATGAAAGGAGTATTCGATTTCTAGCTAGCTGCTTTTTAGTAGGTTGCTTGTTGGGTAACGTAGTTTTGATACTCACCCCTTGCTTCTACACTTGTGTAGGTTCCGAGCCCATTTCTGTGTGATCGTCCTTCTTCTCCTACTTTTCGAGGCTTGTAAAAGGACTATTGAGAGGTAGTTGCTTGTCATCTCGGCAGACCTTTTTTTCCTTTGTATTATGATTTGTTCTATTTGAGAAACAAAGACTTTAGACTATGTAATTATTTCATTTCCGTACTTTTGTATTAGAGGCTTGTACACGTGACAACCAGGTTTTGGGGTGTTAGTAGAAAGAATAAGTTTTTCCGCTCTTATCTCGCTCTTGCTTTATCTTTCCATTTTTCTTTCGTTTCGTTGGGTTTGAGGCTGCCTTGTCTTGGTGAAAATAGATAAGTGTCATCACGTCCATTTTTGGATTGTGACAGAACCATAGCTTCAATTTCTTTGATCCCTCCTTTTCTTTTTCTTCTTAATTGATATTGTTTATTTTACTATTAAATAATGTTTCAGTTATCAAATATTCGAGTTTGTCTTCTTCTCTCGCAATAATCAATCCTTCTGTCTTTCTAACTTCTAAGCTTAAAGTCTTTCACTATCCATATTATTATCAAGGCGTGCTATCACTAAAAATATGTAATTTTAGATGTTGATCCTACCTTTCCCAAGAAGAAAATGAAGATATCTAGATTGAGATTGAGTCTCAGTCTGAGTCGGAACTTCTATAACTAGACTATTGATTATTTCGTCTAATTTACCTTCTTCTTACCCATTCAAATTATCATAATATTCATATTATCTTTCCATTAGTTAGTAATCTAGTGACTCATTAGAATTATGATAAAAATGGATGATTTGGCTCATACGGGTTTATTAGCATGAGTAATCCTTTATTGACTTGTAAAAAATTACAAATAATAAAATGAAATAGCTTAACTAAATTTAAGGGTTTGAAATATTATAGGACACACTCAACATCTTTTACTAAGGTTCCTTAAGGTATCATTAGAGGTAACACATACTCATAGTTATATCATACTTCTTATTTCAAATCATGCCTTTTCGTACAAAACCTACTCAAGCTTTTCAAAGGCATTGTAGTTACTCCCTGCCCAAAGTTAGATTTGGCCACATAAAAAGAATAGTAAGATTCATTATCCATAGAAAAGCAAATCAAAGACAATTCATCTTCAAAAAAAAAAATTAAAAAATTGGAACATGATTTTGGAAAAAACAAAAGGATAAAAATTGAAATTTAACAAAACAATACTTCATAAATAACAAAATAGATGAAGTTACCAAACAAGCAAAATAAGGCAGAATTTTATTTACCTTTGCTTGCAATGATCTGAGCTTAATAAAGATTTGTGTCTGATTCGTCAAAATTTAAGGGTGATTAAATTAGAATTTTTTTTTGTGCTTGTCTGATAGAAAAGATCATTTTAAATTTGGTGGGAGAGAATCCTTTTTTCTGTTGGAAGTTATTTACTTTTTGTTTGATGCTTATAAAATGGGAAAATACGTGTCAAAAATATTGAGCAAAATGCTCCTCAGAGGGAATTTACTTCAAAAATGAATAAGGGTATTAGATGGCTCAATAAAGTTAATTGTATTATAAGTGATTTATTTGGACTATTACATCGTGCAATCTTTGTATTTTTCCTAGGGATGAACATTTGGTATTCAATTCAAAATTTTCAAGTTAGGTTCTTATATTTCACTAATCAGTAATTGAAAGTAGATATTAAATACTAAATTTGCAAAGTTTAATCCAGTATGATAATTTAGTAATTACTTACTGAAGGAAGAGATATTTGACAAAATATGTGCATAATTTGTCCAACATATGCCATATTAACTTTTAGAGAAACTAATATAGAGGTTAGATAAGCACTCTAAAATCATAACATTATTGATTTGTTGTTGCAAGCCAAACAAGATCAATATTTTAAAAGGTACGGGCGCGAGACAAGTCGTTTAACCTAATATGAGGTGAAGCGTAAGTATGATGAATCTTTAATTTTTCATATTTTATAAATTAATATAATAAAATATTAAATTACGTAGAAATTTGAAGAAAATATAAAATAAATGCAAATGTATATAGAAATTTCAAAAATAAATAAATATATAAAATAAGTGTAAATGTATATAGAAGTGCTTTATCTTAAAATGTTAATTAACTTCACTAAAATAAATAATCAGAATTACTCATCTATAAACAATAATCTGACTTCTTAAAAAAATTAAGTAGAAGAAACTGCATCAAAAGAATCAAATCAGAGTAAATAATGAATAATGATACATTTTTACTTTGTAATTTGCGTGTTGATCATTTTTCCTTTTTATCTGGTGAAAGACAAAGAGAAACAATAAAAATTAAGGCTAAGAACAAAATATTTAGATTTTTATGTTTGTTAACATTTAAAATTTCAATGACAAGTTGAATTGTGATTTTCTTATTAATTTATATTTGGCAATTCTAATTTAATTAGAAAAGGTTTTTTGGGCTTACACTCCAAAATAAAAACACGTTGTATATACGTAAACATGCGTCCAAATTGACGGGGCTTATGTCTCACAACACTTTTGCCAGCACAAATTATTGTTGTGGATTTTTACTACACTTCGTCTCAAGGATCACCCCAAAAATGTCTTTTAAAACACTGATCAAGACATATAAAGCACTCATTAATGTTACCCATATATGATAAACAAAACATATCCACCAACTTAAAAATAAATAAGGAAAAAAAATAATCTTAAATTATATAAAATTGAACAAAATTATTCTCTTTTAATAGTTTGATAAATGTCCTTATTATTACTTATAGACATTTCTAGATCAAACTTTAAAAATTTGAATATTTAGAGGATTAAAGGTGTCCCATTGCATAATTTATTGGAGAATATTATTGGTGTTACTTAGTAGGCGTTTGGCCATGCGATACCATATCATGATATGGTGTCGTGAGATGGAATCAGCGTTTGGACATGCGATTTTACGCTGATTCCATCTCATGATTCCATATCATGAGAGGTGATACCATATTCTCCAAAAACCATGATATGGAATCACCATGTGATTCCATATCATGATTTGAGATATTTTAATACAATAATTGATCCATGAGTTTATATTTTGTTAAAACAACCCCACATTTATATCTACTAATCATTTGTTTCATATGTAAATAAAATTTATAATCACATCATTACTTTTTAAAATTTATTATTCTCACCAATATAAAATTTATTATCACTTTAAATTTGGTATCAGAGCTATGGATAATAAGAAACACGGTAAGAAACATACTAGTAGATATAAATTTGGTAAATATAAATGATAAAGTAGAAATTCATTTGGTGAATATAAATGAGAACGAAGGGAGTAATACTTTTTTGATTTTTCATAATAAAAAAAAACGTCTTAATCTTATGACTAAGCATATTATTGATAAAAGACAATTTTCATTGGTGGTGCCGCACTTTCTTATTTGTAAAATGTTCCTTCACATGACTGAAGGATATCAAGTCCAATTGATTGAGGACTTGGGAAAATTTGATCAATTAGTTATTAATATTTAGTCAAGTAGACTAGTTATAAATTTTTTGATTAAATTTTATTAGAAGTGTTTTTGACTCAAACTTGTGGTAACTTTTTAAAATTTTGTTATTCAATAATATTTAACTATTGATTTTTCTTGTAAATAGTTAGAAGTTAGTGATGTTTGTTAATTTTTATCTCACTTCTAAGTTAATATTTACTCACTAATGTATGTTTTTTTTCTACTTTATAGGTTATTTGTAAGATTAGTTGAGAGATATGAGTATATCAAGTACAATTTATGTTTAATTTTTTTAATTAAATTAAAGTTAGATGAAACAATTATTTAACTGAAGAACAAATAACTTTGTAATAATTTATTATGCGATTTTATAATTTTTGTTTATTTGATAAGATTGAATAAACAATTTGGGCTATTTTAATAGTTTTACAACTTATGGAATTTTTATGTTTATGAGAAAATATACAACACAAAAATTCAATATCACATGTCCAAACAAACCTTCAATTTCATCTCATGATTCCATATCATGATACCATATCGCATGGCCAAACGGGCCATTAGTAGCACCTCACCAATTTCCCCTTTTTCTACCTCACTTTTTTTTTTTAAAAAGAATATAAAAAGAAGAAGAGGGTTTTATTAATTTGTTGAGAGTACAACCATTTTTTGAAGTAATGAGACATCATATTCTTTCCTTAAACATAATTCATTTGAAATTTTGATTGTTCGGCGAAATTTTCTAAGTAACAAATTGACATTCACCTTCATTTTCCTCCATAGCTATTTGATATCTTTGTGCGCTTTTTTTCCACTTTACCCAATCTCAGGTGAATATTGGTCCTTTTCTCCTATCTTCTTACAAAATTCTTGATTGGATTCATTTTTGCTTGTAAATCAAAGTTTTAGTTTGTATAAATAGTTGTTCTTCACAGTTTAATTTGTTGGGTTTTTCTTGCAGATGCTTTTCTGGTTCTGCTGGGATTCATTTAGCATTTGATTGTTATTCCTTGCCATTATTTGTTTTCTCAAGACGAGGGCTTTCTGGGAAAGTTTATTAGATCATTGCAGCTGAATTAGGTATGTTTTCGGTTTTTCGAATTTATAATTTTCTGTTAACTAAACCATGAAATCTTGAATTTACATATTTAACATTTATGGAGTAGATGGAGCTACAATTTCATTAGTGTAAAGTTATGAGCTTTCAATTATGAGAAATTTATGTGCTTGCAATGAGGTTTCTTATTTCTTTAGGGAACAAATGGTTAATTCAATCAATTACCTACCCTTTAATCCTTCGTTAGTTGGGGTTTGCTATATAAATCCTATGTATTTCTGTTCGTTCCGGTTGATATAGGGAGCATTTCTCTCCACGAGCCTGTCCATTAAATTAAATGTTCTAGAGGATTTATTAAAGTTCCTACAGAGGAAAGTGGAATCACTACCAAAAAATTTACTATATCAAGCACCAACAATTTCGTTCTATGAAAATCTTTCGCCAGTTGATCGAAGTAGATAGCTTCTCATATTCTAGGCACTTAGCTTGGTTTCCCTCAAATCAAGTGATGCGGTTAGAAAAGAGAAGTAGGCCCCTACTGACTAAAGCTTGGACTCTAGTTTCGGTGTGTTCCTTGAAAGTAGCTGAAATTAGGTAATCAATATGAATTTCCTTAAATGGACCCTTCTTTCTTAATTATCTTCTTAGGAGTAGGAAATGCCATTTAGAGCTAAAGATAGATGGCAAAGAATAGTTTATTTTGAAAGCAACAGTATTATTACCTCTATTAGTTGTAGTACGGACTCATAGATCTTGGAACATATATGACGGCAAGGCCTAAGCATTAAACTATGTGTAATGTGAATCCCCCCTTTTTACCGTACAATGTATTCTCACTCCATCAACCTACCTCAATCCTCCTCCTTAATCGGGGACTTTGGCCAAGTGTTCAAGGCTCATGTAGGTGAAGTTAATTCTCTTGTTGAGGCTTTGGATCTTGCATTTAATTCTAGATCATTTTCATCAGAGGTTAGGTTGAATCAGATTCTAATTCAAATAAAGCTCTTTGTCCACATAATCTTTCTGGACTTCTTAAAGCTGGCGTGAAGTTGCTACCCACTGTTATGTATATTCTAGTTAGCTTGATGTTAGACTACCATTTGCTTAAAACAATTCTGGAATGAGAACTTGTGTCCTAAATAGTAGTTAGGCCAAATATGTCTGTAATCGAAAGATAAATTTATTTTAATGGTTAAAGTGGAAAGCAGAATAGAACAAATATAACAGTACATAGTTGTTACTAGAATTGTCTGGATTTGAACGTTGTTCACATGCTTCCGGATGCTTCCAAAACCAGTTGTCAATATTGGTAATATGTGTCTAATGAGCGGTGGCCTCTGAGACGTGTACGCATATTACTCTGCATGAATAGAGTGCATCAGTAGCTACTTGAATATAAATATGGATCATTGTCTGCAAATTATCTATCTTCAAGATATAGTGAGTGAGGAAACAACTTAGTGGTCATTTAGAGGGGAGTCTGAGGTTTTCCGGGAGATCAAAGATTTCAAGATGTTTGGTAAGCAACTCTTTTGCTGAGCTATCCACTTCCATGTAAGGTGAATTGGTTGAACTGTGTCAATTGGAAGCAACCTCTCTACTTTCACAAAGTAGGGGTAAGGTCAGCATACACACAACCACCCTCCCTAGACCCCACTTGTGGGATAACAATAGGTATGCTGTTTTTGTTGGTGTCTTCTACTAGTTATTCTTTTTGTTGCTACTCCTTGTGTCCCTTTTTTTCCTTCTTCCTTTTCCTTTACCTTTACTTCCATTGTTTGTTTTGGCTTTTCCCAGATGAAGTCCACTTTCAAATTGATACTGTTCATAAGTATTATCTTTGAACCTCTGAATTTAAGCCGAGGGTCTATCAGAAACAACCTCTCTACCTCGCAAAGGTAGGGGTAAGGTCTGCATACATCTTACCCTCCCCAGACCCCACTTGTGGGACTGCACTGGGTATGTTGTTGTTGAACCTCTGAATTAGAACGAGCACCAAAAAGTAACTGTCAAGTTGACCCAAGGGTTTAGTCAAAGTGGCAAAGGGTGAGGGACTTGTGACTAAGGTCATGGTTTTGAGTCCTGCTTCATGCCAATTAAACCTAGTATATAAGTTGGGAAGGGTAGAGGGTGCCCCTTTATTACCGAGTTTCGAATGCTATAAGGGTTGGCCCGAACAGATTTATTGGTCATCCAAAGAAAGCGGTATCTACCAAGTGAAGAATGCTAATTAAAATAGAGGAAATTATTTGTCCTAATTTTCTGGATGGGATTGGTAGTGTCTTCAGAATGTCTTTTGTTCTTTTCTTTCCAACTATCTACCATATACAAGTAGGAGTGATCTTCCACCAGTACTCCTCACTATTTCTTCTCCCCACATTTCTCCGGCTGCTCAGAAGTTTCACTATGGAACTGAACATAGCTCAATTTATCCATAATATACAAAAGAACATGTGCCACAAATTTATAGTTGTCTTACAATGTAGAAAATGGTGCTCATTAGTTACACTTTCCTGACCACATAGTAGGCCCATTGAACAAATTTGAAGACCTCTTCTCAGTAACTTTTCTTGAGTGGCATGCTTTCCTGACAACCAACCACTCAAATCAAGAAACCCTTACTGAAATTTTGACTCTCCAAATAAGCTTTCAGGACCAGGGCACATTTTGATGAGTTCTATGATTCAAATTTCAGTACAGACTTAATTGTGAATTTCCATCTGCTATTTGACCTTCATTTAAACTTTTCTGGAAACTTAGTAGTGCCACCAAAAGTGGTCAGTTGCTGAAGCAGAAAGGTAAAACCCTCAATTTCCCAATCATTTAAAGCTCCTTTGAAGATCAAATCTCAACCATGTTGATTCCAAATATGGTTTATCTACCATGGTTTTGAAGGATAATTGAGTATATATTAGGAAAGGTGGACTTTAAGCTATTTAGTCTAATCGAGTGGTCCTCTCCAAAATTTAGTGTTTCTTCGGCCCGGACACCACAGTCATCAGAAAACAAATTGTGTTTCTTCCATTACCCACTTTGATCTCCACACTTCCCCAGAATTCACGCTACTGATTCCTAATGGTTTTTCCGGACACTACTACCATGGGAGCTTCATTTGTAATCAACTCATTATTCATTCCATATTACTGTGCGACAAAGTGTCTCCATAATGTCATCTCTGCTTAAAACCTCCATAACCACTTTTGTAAAAGACTTTTATTGTGTAATTTCAGAAGCTTTATTCCCCTACAACCTTGCTTCTTGCTAAGAGTTAGGACTTCCCATTTCACCAGACTGACTGATGCTTCTGTTTTCCGTGTTACTCCTTAGCTTGTCTAACTTCTTTTCTACCCCCTAGGAATTGGGAAGACAACTATCATACAATTGGGAAGAGCATCCAATACTGAGTCAATTAGTATCAATCTTCTCCCTAAGGATAAATATTGGGCTTTTCACCTTGCCAAGCTTCTTGTCACATCTCTCAATAACCTCATTCCAGCTATCCACTGATTTTCTCTTTGCCCCCAAAGGTATCCCCAAGTACTTTGTTGGAAGAGTCCCCACCTGACAACCTAGATTCTTTGCAAAACTCTGTAGATTTATTACTTGGTTTACTTGATATAAAGACCTTTTGTTCCAGTTAACCCTTAAGCCAGAAAGAGCTTAAAAAATAGACAAGATTTCCCTAAGGTGTCTGATCTGATCCACCTCAGCTTCACAAAACACAAGAGAATCATCTGCATATAACAAATGAGAAGTTTCACCAGCAACACCAACTTCTGTTAGGACTCCAAAACCTCTAATCCAGCCATTAGACTTAGCTGTCCTAATCATTTGATTTAGGCCCTTCATTGCTCGAAGAAATTGAAAAGGTGACATTGGGTCACCCTGTCTAAGCCTCCTTTGAGATTGGAAGAAACGTACAGGATTACCATTCATCAAAACAGAGAATTCAATACTGAAATTGCAAAACTTTATCCATTTAATCCCATTTATCACCAAATCCGATATCCTTGAGTATTTTCAAAAGAAACCCCCAATTAACATGGTCATAGAGTTTTTCAGTATCCAACTCGCATAGAACCCCTGGCTTATCAGATTTAGTTCTAGATCCCCCAACTCATTTGCCAGAACAACATTTCATAATCTGTCTTCCCCTCAGAAAGGCCATTTGATGAGCATCAACTAATTTTCCCCTTACTGTGTTCAATCTCTCTGTAATGACTTTAGATTCTAATCTTGTGAACTCCACCTATTAAGCTTATTGGTCTGAAATCTTTTAACTCTTCTGCATAATTTTTCCTTGGAATCACAGCAATAAAAGTAGCATCGAAATGTTTCTCAAAGAACTTATTTTGGTGAAATTTGTGAATTGTTTGCATCAAGTCTTCTCTGAGTGTTTCGCAACATTCTCTGAAAACCCCCATTGTGAATCCATCTGGACTAGGTGCCTTTTCCACTTTTTGAGTATTGTAAAGAAAATATTATATATTTATTTGCGAAGGTACAACTAGAACCCATACATCACAACATGTCAAATCAAATTTACTTGCAGTTTGCAGCTTTGACCATGACAGCCTATGCATTTTACAAGAAATTTAGGAGATTTCCAGTATGTTCTTCAAGTGTATTGAAGATTTGACCCTCGGTATGTTAGCAAAGTTGATATATTAGAGTGAACAAAACCTTGGGTCAGGATGGATTTTTCGATTAAGAGATAAGAAGCTTTGGCTTAATACCTAAATAACGAGGTGCACTGTAATGCTTACTTTTGATGACTTATTATGACAAATTGATGATGGTAGCTTTCTCTGCCTATTCTGTTGTTTTGTTTTGTTTGGATTTTGGGTGGGGGATAAACTGGTGGGAAATTTTCTATTTTCTTAATGAGGTAATTTTTATATAACACCAAAATCAAGTGATTGCTGGTGTTTTTGAACAGTTGCAACCAAAAAATTAGTCCTCACTGACTATGTAAATAGCTAATGAAATAGAGCACTGCCTCTACATTTATGTAGAATTGTGAAAATATGAATATTAATAGATCTCCCCTATATCTTTGTGATCTAAAGGGTGTGCTCAATACTGATCATGAAACAGTTACCTACTCGTCTCTTCAATAGAAGTAGTTCCTTTTTAGGATTAGAGAATGGTGCTTTTGGAGAAAGGAGGTCAAGTTTAACTTTCTTCATTGTAGTTACCCTATATCTTAAAGAAAGACCATTTAAAAGGGAAAAATGCCTATTCAGTGCAGGGATGTTGGAAATTGGAGGTCGACTACACCTACCCTACCCTTTTGTTTCTTTTGATAGCTACGGTGTCTGAGTTGTCTTGTGCACACCTCAACTATTCTATTAGGTACCTGCAACCTCTCACCAACACAAGTACCGGATAAATCTAGCTACACATAATCTACTTTGACTGGGTGAAAGTGCCTTCCAAAAAATGATATCGAAGATCTAGTCCACCTCCCTAGGGACCCAATGAGAATCTCTTTCTAGGTTGTTACTGATTCCTACTCAGATTTCAGGTTCCATATCTCATACTTGTTTCACGATAATATTCTGTAGCTTTAATTATATACTAATACCAACCTCCAGAAAAACCTCAACCTAACGAGACTATGCATAATTAATGCTCTGATAGAAGTTCCTACCATTCCTTTTGCAAGCGTAGTTTCCTTTCATATTGTAAGATTACTCCTTCAATGATCACTATTTGTTCCAATGTTGACATGGTTGCCCACCTTTTTGCTTAGCGGTGAGGAGGAATGAAAATGGTTCGGTTATGGTTTTTATGAAGAATATTGTTAGCGAACCTGCTAAAGTATGGGTAGTGATGGTACTTAGCTCACTGCTAAGTGTGTAGGGTTGGAAACTCAGTCACGCTTGGATTAGTCCCCTAAACAGAGAGTCAAGCTTGAGTCTGGTTTTCCAGGATCTACTTCGTTAATTCTATTAATAGATGTCACCATGTTATGGCAAAAGATGGTGCCATTGCCGATCTCAATAATGAGGTCAGATGGGTGTTAATCGTCTATATAATTTCTGGATTCAACAAACTTGTTGTGAGGTCTATATTTTATTTAGTATAAGTTGGTGTACAAAAATATAGTGGAATAAGCTCGATGAAACATCTTAGTCCAGCACAGGCTATTAGCATTAACTAATTTTTAAAGTGTAACAGGGAATATAGTTTTGCTCCAATTTATCTGATTTAATAAATATCTACACATTTTAACTAAGTCTACTTTAAGATAATGTAATCCAAATTATTAATGTCATTCAATAGAAATTCTCATTTTCCATTATCTTTTTGCTATTAAAATTCATTTCTTCTACTGTTTTCATTTAACCACATCTGAAACTTACCTGAATTTGTTATTTTATATTTATTCCTGGATTTGGCGATGAAATTATAGTGTTCTCAAAAAGAAATCAACTTATTAGTCTTTAATCCGTAATTAATTTAGTTCTTAACTTGATCTTATTCGATTAGAGAGTAATCCAATGTCGTGGAGCTTGAGCCCGCAGAACTTTGTCCTCTCAAATTGCAATTATCACTGAATAGACGATTGTCTTCCATCTCACGTATGCTTATCTGACATTTTTTTTTATGACAAGGGAAACCCGCAGCCGCTACCCTTTGGGTGTGCACAGGGTAAAACCCTCGCTCCTATGCAATAGCTCGCAAATCATATAGGAGAGGTAACCCGCACTAGGCAAGCCCGGTATGACGAGCTCGACCCAAAAGGCAAACCCCTTGCTTTCGCTGGCAAGGGGTTTCAAACTTGAGACCTCCAACGTGGAAGTCTCAAGCCCAAACCACTGGGCCACCCTTTCCTACTATATTTCACTTAAATTTGTTTTTCTCATCAGTTCTGCTTAAGATATCTGTATTGTTAATATCATGATGTTTAATCTAAGTTGCAGACATCATTTATCATTTGGTGAGTTTATCTTATGAGCAATACGGATTCTATTTTAGCACTTCTATGTATACCTGCTTTAATAATTGGAGAGACGTCATACAAATAGCTTGTGATAATATAGTATTTTGATTCATAAAGACCCTTATGAGTCATGGCCATGTCCTAATTGTCCCGCCAGTGGAATATGCGCATCTAAGAGATTTTTCATGCAGTGCCTAATCCCGAAATTGGTTCTATTTCTTGTTTACAATAGGATATGTTTTATTTTCAGGTTAACTTGGGAAAGTTTTATCTGCTCAAAACTTTCATCTTATTAGCTAGACCGTGCTGTTTGTTTTTGAAGCAACATGAACCACCCTCATCCATATGGTGAAGATCATGTAAGTCATAAATTCTTGTAGTAACTGATAGGTGATAGCTCTGGCATGTTTTTGACTTAGCCTAAATCTAAGTTATGCACACAGGATGAACCCACTGTCATGGGCTTTGAAGTTCCAAGATCACCCGATGCAAGTTACAACAATGTGTATCCTGGGCATTTAGATGAAGGAAGGGAACCACCGATGGTACCGCCATATTTGCATCATACCTTGCTAAACCACCCAGCAACAAGAGATGAATCAACCTCCCTCCCGTTGCCACAGAACGCGGTGCTAAACCATCTGTATATTGAGAACGGAGAAGTCCCGAGGTCAGTTGTAGCACTTGGTGTAACACACCGTTTTCGCTCAAAATATGTTACGGTCGTGCTTTACAAACCCGTCCAAAGAAGATGAGGTAGCATAGCAGACATGCCTGAACGTACACACCATCTTTGGCTTGTGGTCTGATGATAGTAGAGGTAAATACACAGCAAGTTCTGCAGTGGAGAATGTTTATTTCTTCCCAGCTACTAGTAGTAGGAAAATATGGTATCAGGTACCCTTGGACTTGAATAATTGAAGTTATATGTTCAATAGTTTTAAAAAGTTTACATGTATTATGGCAAAAAGTTAGTGATGTCCCTGTTTGTTTGCCTTGACAATTATGTTTTTGAGTAGCTCTTCAATGTTGACGTGTGTGAAAATCTGTTAAACACCTTGTTAGATTTAAGCCAAGTTCACTACATCTAATATGGCAGAAAGTTAGTGATGTCCCTATTAGCAATTCTGGTTGATTGATATATTAAGAGATGACTATCATAAAATTGCAGCATATGCTCTTTTTGAAGCCACTCTTTAAAACTAACAACTCTTTTGGAAAGTTGTGCAAATGTTGCCTTCTGCTCGCAATACAATGTTAAAAGTCCTACAAGGGACGAGTGGTGTTGTTAGATGGTCTTGGGTAATCTCTGCCTCTTGAGGTAGCTAAAAGTTCATTTCTTTACATGATATTAGAGTAGGATTCAATCCAATTTTATTTACAGATGTTGGATCCCCATATTAAATTGCCCACGCTTCATGGAGTGTTGTAAAGTCTCACATTGGATTAAAAAGGGATGATCTTGAGCAATCCTCTCTTCTTTAACTAGCTTTTTAGAACGAGTTGAGTTAGACTTAAGATTCCTTTCTTTACGATAAATACATGCCTACTTGAGTTCAAGGTCGAAAGATCATTTCACAAAAGGCCATACAGCTTCCTTAAAGCAACAAAGTTCAATTGTATATCGTCAATAGAGTTAAAAAAAAAAAGATTTTTCAATCTTGTGATCCTAAATTAAATTTATATCAAATGTATCAAAATGCCTTTTAATTTTGTGGTCTTAAACATGTCACGTGGAAAGTTGAAATTAAAGAGTTACCAAAAAGAGAAAAGGAGTCGTTCCTTTTCAAACACAATAAAAAGGAAAGTAGGTCATTCTTTTTGAAATGAAAGGAACAACATTTTGTCTTCCCGTGTCCGAGCATAATTTCAGTGGCTACATCGTAGATTAGGCTGACAAAAGTAAAGGATGCCCTAAAAAGTATGAGGATTACAAGATATTATGATTGTTATAAACATATTTGTATTATAGTGAATGTCTATTATGTGAAATTCTTTGGAAAAAAGTAAGGGATCTACTTGGGGATCAAGTCAATTTTCCCTTATAAATAAATGAGTTTTCCTTCCTCGTAATTGATCTATGAATATACCTCAATCCCTGAATATCATTCAAGAGGAATAAGAAGTCTTCTCTCTTCTCCCTACTTTATTCTTCTTACCATAACAATGATTTAGATATTAATTTTTTAAGGGTGTACAAAGAAAATTAAAAAATTCTGCTTATTTTATGTAGTTCCATAACAATGATTTAGATATTAATTTTTTAAGGATGTACAAAGAAAATTTTAAAACCTGCACCAAACTAATAATTCTAATCACATCGAAAAGAAGATTTAACTAGTGGTTTGATTTAGTTTGGGGTTAGGGAATTTTTTTTTTATCATAGTTGATTTAGTTTGATTTTAACTATAAAAAAAAAATCAAATTGAACTAATGAATTCAACTTACATGTATATAATTTTTATAGATATTTTATACTTCAAATATTTGTTGTAATATACTTTATAAATATTTCTTAAATTATTTCAAGTGTGGATTTAGAATTTAAATGGTCCACTCAAGAGTATGAGTAGCTAAAAAAGGGAAACAAAAGCGAGATGTTATCTGGATCGTAGAATAAGGTAAAATGGACGGTTGTGATCAAATTTGGGCATGGGTCGGATTGATGGGTCACAGGATGGGTCATCCGGATTGAATTAATTGGGAAATGATTTGCAATTTTAAAATTGAATAAATATTGGCTAGAATTGACATAGATTGGGTAGAATTTAAATAAATTAACCAATAGCAAACATAAAAGTCATATTAGCTCATAGCTACACTTTTGCTATTTGCACTCATAGCAATCTATTTGCTATAGAGCATCTGATTTGTATAAATCGCAGATATTTGATTTGTATAAATCGCATCAATTTGTATAAATTGGGCGTTCGTGTCAATAAAAATTGTGTTTGTATATGTATATGTTCTTTGTGTTAGGCTAGAGCGGAGAGCGAGATTAGGAGAGAGGGGATAGAGGCGAGCAAGAGAGGGCAGAGAGTAGAGAGAGGTGAATTTGTATATCGGTTAGATAATTGTTTATATATAACTACTTTGTATATGTATCAATGATTGTTTTTGTATATCTGCATAAAATTTGAATTGTATACAATTGAATCGAGTTAAAACATTTGTATTTGTATATCAAATCTCTCTCTCGCTTTATACAAACACAAATTGTACATTGTATTTGTATTTGTATAAAGTGAGAGAGAGAAAGACAAAAGAGAACTAGGCAAGAGAAGATTTGTATATGTATAATTATAAGTGTATAGGACGGAGAGAAATGTATTTGTATATATAGTCTCTCTCGCTTTATACAAACACAAACACAATTTATATATTTATGTTTGTATAAAAGTGAGAGGGAGGCGAATGAGATTCATGGGAGAGAGGCAAGAATGACAATATGCTTGCTACGAATTAAAATTAAATGGAACTATAGCTATAACATTTATTTTGAATTAATAGTCTGTTATAATGCACAATTTTCCCTAGTTTTTAATATGCACATGGGTATGGATTGATAATTGGCCGAGACAAAATTTTAGGAACAGTATATTAGTATTTGCAGACGCATATTCGTAATATAAATTGATGATTTAGTATTTTAGAGTTTTTAAAAATTAATTTATTAAATTTTAAAATAATATAATATTTATTAAAATTTACTAACTTCTTTTATATATTCGTGTATCTAGACTTCAACTTTTTTGTTTTTTTAGTGTTGTTATTATTGTCATTTAGTATTTAACTCTTTTTTTAACATTAGTATTGATCTGATTTTGATTTGAGCTTCATTAGAGTTGCTAAAATCTATTACCTATAACATTTATTGAATCATTCAAAATTATAAGTCAAGCTTGAAATAATATATTAAAAGATAAAAACCTTTAAAAGTATAAGAAATATTTGTAAATTATATCAAAGTAAATACTTTTATATTATAAGAATTTTTAAAAAAATTATATATTTAATGTTGAATTGATTTGACCTCGATTTGGTTTTTTAAAGTTAAAATCAAACCAACTCGAGTATAGTTTTTTAAAAAAATTTAATATCAACTAAGCTAAACCAATCACTAGTTTTTTTTTTTTTACTTGATTTACAATTTGATATATTTTGGATTTGATTTTGTTCGTCCATCGACTCAATTTCAAAATAGGCTAAAGTCTCCTCTGCAAGTGCAAGTGATGCTATTTGTCATTTATTCTCTATTAACTTCCCATGTATCCCGCAATATCTTGCTATTCAATTGTTGAGTTCTTTATGATATATTTTCCGTCCAAGCATTGACTTATTATTAAAATACAATTAATAAGAAAAGGAGCCCTTGCTATTTTTAAAAATAAATAATAATGGAATCAGTAGCTGGCCCCATTATTCACGTCTTCCCTTCTCATTTTCTTTTTAATTTTTAAGCGTGTTTGGTATAAAGGAAATATTTTTTGAAAAATGTTTTCTAATTTTTTCATGTTTGGTTGACTTAAATATTTTGAAAAATATTTTTCAAATCAATTTCTTTTTCTCAAATTTAAGAAAAATTACTTACCTCAAAAAAGTAAGAAAAACATTTTCCAAAATTCTTTTTCAACCTCACACTTCAACTTTCCGTCCTAACTCAAGTCTCCAATAATAATTTTCAATATTAATCCGAGATCCAACTCTTGATCCTCGATTCGAGATCCGACCCTTGATCTCAATTCGAGACCCAACTCTAGGGTCTCGAGTTGAATCGGGTCAAATCCCTGAAAGTCAAGAGAGGGGGGGGGGGGGTGAATTAAAAATTCCTCTAGTCGACATTCGGTATGGGATAGTCGACTCACCTACATATTAGTAAATATATATAACAATATAAGGTAAAGATAAAATCAGTAAGTAAAAGACTCAGAAAGTTTTTATACTGGTTCGAAACACCGGTGTGCCTACTTCTAGCCCCCTTGGGTTTCAAGGGTTTCCTTAAGAGCTTGTTGAGAACTTGGATAGTACAAAGTATTTCGACTAAGAACCCTGTCTTATGTGAAAATAAGATTTTCTACTTTGACACAACCTCTACTCGTATAACCTACACTCAGATCTTTCTTTCTCTTCTTTTTTTTTCAATTGTATGCTCAAGAGAATACAATGCTTTTATGAAAGACAATAGAAGACAATTGTACAACTTCAAGTGAAGTGCATGACCTTCTATGATTCTAAGGTTGGCTTAAATAGGTGAGGTTCCTTTGCTCTTCTTTAGGAAAACCCAAGGGAATTTCATTCAATCAAGGATTTGTAGGGATTTCTTGATTGAGGCTGATTTGAGGAATATTATGATCATGTCCATATTAGATATGTTCGAGATGTCCTTCCTTCTCTGGTGAAGCGTCTTCCTTCCCGGATTTCTTAAATCATGAGTTATTGCTTATTAGTTAACCTTGATATCTTACAATCCAGCTTTGTCAGTGTCAATATACCTTGATTGCTGGAGATTCGTCAATCAATCTAGATTTTGGAGTATCTCTTGCTTTCCTTCCTTCTGATTATTTTCACTCAACTGAATCCTGAGGGATTCGATTATGTTGTTGTATAGATTTCGTCTGGTTCTGCACTTGAAAGTATATTTATTGTTATTGATCAAAATCCATAAACATTGAAGAGGCTAACAATCCCGAATCGGGTGTCATCAAGATCAGCTGTCATTGTCAGTGTTAGGTGTCGAAAGTTGAATCTTGGGAGGGGTGTCGGGTTGGCTCTTGATTCGAAAGTCGGGATTAGGTCTTGGATCTGATCTCGGGGTCAGATACTGAATCAATCATCAGGAACATGTTTCGGTTAGAATATCGAGATTAGATCAGAATTCGAATGATGGGTCCTAGATTGGGTGTTGGGCTTGAGACTCGAATTGATCATGGCATGGTTCAGTTGTTGGAATCGGATCTCAGATCCATTATTGGGGCTATTTTCGAGTCAGAAAATATTTTTTACTTT